TTTTTTTTTTTTGGTATCAATGGGGTCTCACTATGTTACTCAGGCTCGTTTATAACTCCTGGGCTCAAGAGATCCTCCTGCCTTGGCCTCCCAAAGTGCTAGATTACAGGGGTGAGCCACCATTCCCGGCCTCTTTTTTTCATTACTTTATAATTCCATTATGGTGAGAGAACATATTCTTTATGACTTTAATCAATTTAAATTTACTGAGTCTTATTTTCGTGGCCTATTTTTGATAATTAAATGTTCCTCTCTACCTATGGTAATATTCCTTGCCTACTTTATCAGATGTGAATTTATATAGCCTCCCCGGCAATCTTATGGTTAGAGTTTACATGGTATATATTTTTACATACTTTATATGTATTACCTTTCTGTGTGTCTACTGTGGCTGAATTATATTCTATCATCTTTTAGCTCTGTGTGAAATCATTGAATTATTCAGCTTATAGGTTCTTTGTAGTTTTTTTTGCCTATCTTGTGAGATGTCACACTAGCATGTGAGGATTGATACTGAGACACACAGTGAGCTATTTTTGTATTTCTGGAGCACTTTCTCTGTATGGCTTTCTCCATTCCAGTACCATACTTCACAGATTCCAATTGCCTAGGCCTCTCCAAATATTGATTTCTGGCTCCCCAACTCAACAAATAGCCATGTTCTTTTTGGTTTCTTTCTTTCTATGCAGTAGTCCAGAAAGTATCTCTAAACAGAAATCTGAGGTGTGATCCTTGGACTCACCTTGTTTTCCTTCTCTTGTGTATCACAATTCTGTGACCTTATTTATGGAACCTCTTTTGTCCAGTTTTCTAGTTGTTCATAGCTGGAAGTCATGTATAGTGCCAGTTGTTCTGACATAGCTGGAATGACTTAATTTTTTAATTGTAAATTTCAATCAGTACATTTAACCTCAAAGCTGTTTCTTTTTGGTGACATTTATTGTGTATAAGATTGGAAATAATTTTATTGTTATAGTCTTGTCTAAGTGTGTAATGATGTATGCAAAAGGATATTCATTACAGAATTATTGGCATCAGAAGAAAGAGGAAAGGTATAACATTTATCAGCAGGTTAAGTGAAGATACCTCATTGTAGTGGTATATGCTCTGTAGGCATAAAAATGAATAAAGCAGATATATCTGTAAAAATGTAATAATATCCAGAATATATTAAGTTAATAAATAAAGTATGATGTAGGAATATATATTTAGCTTTTTCCTTTTCTTTTTTAAGGCAGGGATAGTGTGGTCGATGGAGGAATAGGTCAGAGGGAGACTTACTTTTCCTCGTCAGCTCTTTTATGCTTTTTTAACTTTTTTTGACATGTGTATATATAACTTTTTAAAAACAATAAAATAATTTATAATGTTAAGAGAAAGGTTACTCTTGGTACCAGAATTTAAGAATATTGGCCCTAGAGTGGACCCAGGAAATCTTTTTGTCCAACTCTTTCATTTTATAATTGACTAGTTGTAGTCAATTATGCTAATAAGAGGCAGTAGTAGTACTAAAGAGGCATCTAATTTTATGTCAGGTTTGGGTTAATTTCTAGTGCTGTCACTTAGTAACCAGGCAAGAGATTAACTTCTGACCTTCCATTTGCTCATTTATAAATGGGGGCAAAATATCATCCTTATATAGGTTATTATGAAAACTAAATGAGGTAACATGGAATACCCTAAAGTGCCCTCTGACAGATGTTTCTGTTTTTCTAAGACAAAATTTATATCAGCCTTTTTAAAACACATTTTAGCCTTTTCACAAATAGTTCTTCATGTTTGTATCAGACATTCCTTAGAGATAAATCATATTGTGAAAGAGAAATCTTATTTGTTTATTTATTTGTGTATTATATTTACAGAATGTTTTCAGGAAAGTGAACATCTCAAAGAAAGTCTTAAGTGTTGCTTATTGCATCTTTTTGGAGCCATTGTAGCTGGTGGACAGGTAAGGAAAGTGTTGAAAGTTAATATGTAATAGTTAACAATGCAAAAAGCTTTTGGTGAATTATTTAATGTATTCTTTGTCTTTTTATAACTTCATGAACCATACAGTTATCTTTACGTTTCTATTTTGTTTTAAACTAATCTTACTTATTTCTTTTGTTATCTTGTCAAAACCCTAAGTAATAATTTTATCATTGACAATACAATTACTGGATAAATAACCAGATTTAACAATTTTTTATATTATAAGTCTTATTTGTGTTGGCTTTCAGCGACTAGTTTTTACTTTGGAGTATGGAGGAAGTCAACCCTGTCAGTCCAAATGAAATCAAACTCTAGCAGTTGGGATGAGTACAAGAAAGAATTTCTAGTAATTTTTTTAACATTAAACATCTTAAAAGCTGTCTGTCATAAACTCCAAGTATAACTTCTAATTGACAGTAGGATTATAGTTGAGAAAGAACATTCTGCATGTTTTCTTAAACCACAATTTAGATCAGACATTCGTGACACTTTTTGTACTTTATGTAACACAGACTCTTTCGGCAGTCTGATAAAGCCCTTTGTCAGAATGTTTTTAAATGCCTGAAATAAAATACATGAAATCACAAAGGAAACCAACTATGCTAAAATGCAGTTACTAAAATATTAATTAACCTGTGACATATTAATATGTACTTCTTTATGACACATTAATTAAAAAGATGTAGCAGCAAGTCTAATAACTAATGTCATTTTTAAAAAGAGATGAGCATAAGTGATGTTTTGAGAGATGCAACAACTATAATATATGAACATGCATATGATTTTTATTGGTGACAAAA